TATAGTTTATTGAATACCACTGAAGGCTGCCAAAATGCATCTCTGGATTTATGCATGTTTCTGGTAGTGAACGGCGCTCATGCCACTTCTGGAAAATAACCTTTTCTATAATCATTTCACTGCTACACGTTTACTCATGATTTTCACTTCCATAATTTTTCGTGGTTCACGTGAATATCACGCTTTACATTCATTATATACAGGCATTCTCATGATTATTATTTGGTTTCATTCAACGGATTTGACTTTCATTCGATGTTAATTAACACTTAAACATAAACTGGGATATATACGCGCGTATCAAAAATTTTCGGCCTCATATCACAGTGGTGCGCTTACGAGGAATGACTTTTGCCTCTAAAAACCATTAATTCTGTGAGTCTGGTGTTCGATTCCCTCAAAGTTGGCTCATTTACTGATATTGTATTGATAAATATTGGTTTATTAATAAATTGCATAAATTTGTGATTGGTTTATTAAGTAGGCGATTCACCGAGTTGGTTACTTAATTAGCAAAAGTTTCCTTTAATTTGAATCTCTCGTGAGAAGACTGCAAAAATGGAAACAATCAGCCAGTTGTACCATGTCCACTGTACTTAAGTACCTTATAAAGCCGATTTTCATACTTTGAAATCGACCGGTAACTTTGATGACGAAGTGCTGTTGTAGGATTGAAAGAGCCGAGCAGACATTAATGATTATTCAAACCAGAACTGATGAGATATTTGGAGCGTTCTGTGATGCAGCATGGTCAACACGACGTAACAAACGAGATACTGGTCCTCAGGGGAAGTATTTCGGCGACGCCCAATCGTTTGTGTGGAATTTGAGCGCGGACGGTCAGCTGAATGTGTATAACTGGGCCGAAAGACAACCTCGATTCTTCATGGCTGCACCAACCGACACTACTTTGATGGTGAGAGAGAGGGATTTTCAACTCTTACAGCATGTGTTCCTTCAGTAATTTTTCTATATCAGCTGATGCATCCCACTTTTCTTTCGTCAATTTTCTGCGTCATAAAATGTCTTCAAATACATGACATTCAAGTGAAATCCTTCTATTCTTCTATTTCATAGTTGAAGCAACGAAAACTCTTCATCCTTTTTTGGTATGTTTTGCCTACCTCTTCCACGTAACTGCATAGAAGCGGTGGAGCAAATCCTTTCATCCCACTGGTGGCCCTCTTTATATCTGCTTAGCTACTTAAGGTTGCATGAGCGCCATTCAGTAATCCGTTCTGTCCATCCTCAGAACTTAATTAGTTTGGCTATTTTCTCTTCTAATTTGCTGCAAGCAGTTATTCGGGCCAGGTGTTGGATGTCAGTAAGAAAAAGCACTGAGAAAGGTATTAAAGAAGAATCATACTGCCAACTTGCATTTTTTGTGAATCACAAGAAAGATGATGATATGACTTGAGATCACGAATAGCTCGTATCGGGATCGCAAGTCATGCCATAAGTCCTGATACTACTGCGGCGTATGAACCCCTCGAATTCCACACCAGCAATT